AAGATTAGATTTTCTAGTAAATCCTATCCTCAGATACAAATAAAAGAAAAAATTGCTTCTTTTTGCGTAACACAATTTTCAATATTAGTATTTGAGGACAGAAGATACTAAAAAAACACTGATGTTTACAAAATGAATTAGTCACATTGAAAACTTTATATATGTAAGTACATTTTAAACTCGAAAGTGATTGAATGGAGACTATGCAATTTTGTTGAAATTTGGCAAGGCTCTCCCGTCATTTTTCGTTATTAGAAATCCATCTAACGTAAAAATCTATTTTCTATTTTAGCGTTCAATGGTGATAGTGACAACTGTTTATGTATAATATCATTGAAAGCTAGTAAAATCTTCGATCGAACACATTATATAAAAGTATTACCAAATAGTTTATGTGATCGTTATTGTAAAAATACATTTGAAGGTTCATCAAGTGACTTTAAATTTCAATGTGGTTCATTAACAAATCCTCAAACATGGGCTATATATGGATTGAGTGAAATATGTCCAATAAATTTTATTTATATAAAAGAATTAAAAAAATGTATATATGCATATAAACATTTTTGGAATTCATGTACACCAACATCAATTAGTTTTACTTTTGATGGAAGTATAACATGGAATAATTTATTAAAAATAATTAATAAATTACAATTGAATGAGTCAAGCGTAACTATTGATTTTGATGAAAGTGTTGTTATTGATCGTTCATGGAAATGTCCAAGTGCATTATCAACAACAACAATATCATCTTTAATATGGACATCTTATCTTTCACGTTCACGTTCAAGCTTATATGGTTGGAATTCAAATAGACGTTATATTTTAGAAAACGGATGTTTACTTGAAACCTCATATTCATCATATTCACATCGATATTCATATCGTTTATGTGTAACAGATCCAGTCAATAGATATTCTATAACAGATAATGAAGATAATACTGGAACGTATATTGCTGCTGTAAATCCACAAATAAAATATTGTCCAACAAATTGGTTTGATTTAAATGGACGTTGTTATCGTGTTTCAAACGAACGTAAAACAATTGAACAAGCACAGAATAGTTGTATTAATGTATCAACAACTGAATCAACTACAGTTGGTCAACCTCGTATACGGTTAATGGATAGTTCTGATCATATAATTGTTGACAATGATTTAAATGATTCACCAAAAGGTGAAATTGTTGAATATATATCAGAATGGCAAGCTAGACTTGGATTTTTTCTTCTTGATACTGATAATGGTATGAAAATATTTTATTTTCTTAAAACAAAAAGAAAAGAATCATTTTGTTTTTGTTTTTAATTTTATTATAGATGATGGAACTGTAGATACAATAACATCATTACATAATCTTTATTATGATAATGCTTTATCATCATCGGATATTGAGGAGACTACTAATCTTGATCATAGACCAAAAAATGAATTTCAATTAATGAATTCAAATAATACATGTATGGTTATAATACGTTCAGTAACTGAAACAGAAGAAAAATCAATCATTAAAAATACTTCTATGAATGATTGTTCTAAACCAAGACATGTTTTATGTGAAACAAATACATTAGTTGTTCAAAACAATCAATATGGTTGTTTTAATAAACCAAATATACTTGATTTACCAGTATTAATATCAAATCATTTAACACATGAATTATGTTTATCATTATGTAAAGAATTACAAACAAAATTAGCTATTCTACATATTAACAAATGTTATTGTTTAGATGGTGCTACCCCAAATTTATTAAATATAACAACAGATTTTGAAAAATTTCGACAAAAAAGTTGTGGAAATGTTTGTCCAGGTATGTATTATTTAGTTATTCGAAACAGTCATCAAATAAAATATCATAAAGATCTAATTTATAATAAATACTAAACATATCTATTTTAAAAAGAAAATGGAATAGAATTAAATATATAGATTAAAAAAAGAATAAGAAATAGATGTACAATATAGATATTTATAATTGTAAGAAAGAGTTTGATGTATATTTCTTGCAAATAGCACTACATCGAATAGAAGTGTTCTAGTTCAAAATTTTCTCCTCATTGCAATCATTTTCAGGTAGTTAACCCAAGAAAATAGAAGTCAGTCTTGGCATTCTTTAAAATATCAACAGCGTTTAAAAATACCCGAATTCCAATTCGACCCAATTTTAGGTTGCACCCATGTAGTTCAATAAACGCTTGGACAATTATCTAAATATTCAACATTGTCTAAGGTAGTTGAACAGTTCCTGAAGCCGAAGACGTGTCGTTCATGCTGAACATCAGATTGGAGATCAAGTTCTTTACATGCCTACTTGCACATCCATCTAGTAAAGTTGTACGAAGCTATGCTTTGATCTTCGCTAGATATTTTTGAAACCGAATCAAATGATTCATTTCACCAGTAGTTTAACTGAACATGGTTAAATAAACCTTGTCTCTTACATTTTTATCTCCTAACGATTATACTCAATAGCAGTACGCTGATTGTGTTTGTGAACATAATGAGAAATATTCGAATATTGTCTTCATTTATTATTTCTTTCAAAGTTTCAATATGAACTTCAATGTACTTATGTATACTAAACTTATTGTTCAATATAAAAACTACTGGAATATTTCAAACTTATTTACTAGAGAGGATTCTCAGTTTTCGATTAGTTTTTCCACCGGGATTTCGTGCATGTTGACTGTAATGAAGTTTGTCTAACATGAAAAGAGTTCATGTTTATGATTTGTTTCTAAAGATATTGAACGTTTTCAGTGAATTTTCCCAGTAGGACTCTATATTTACATCAAGACCATATTTTCGATCTGAAATTTTACTCACATGACNTTCATTAGATAGGTTCTACTGAAATACGAATTCATGTATATAAGGTTTTTTCCTAAAATGATGGCCATTTTAGTGATACTGACAAATGTGTATGTATAATGCCATTGAAAGCTAGTAAAATCTTTGATCGAACACATTATATACAAATATTATCAAATACTTCATGTGATCGTTATTGTAACAATACATTTGAAGGTTCATCAAGTGATCATAAATTTCAATGTGGTTCATTAACAAATCCTCAAATATGGGCTATATATGAATTAAATGGAACATGTCCAATAAATTTTATTTATATGAAAGAATTGAAAAAATGTATATATGCATATAAAAATTTTTGGAATTCATGTTCACCACCATCAGTTGGTTTTACTTTTGATGATAGTATAACATGGCAGACTTTATTAAAAATAATTGATAAATTACAATTAAATGATTCAGCTGTAGTTATTAATTTTGATGCAAGTGTTGTTATTAGTAGTTCATGGAAATGTCCAAGTTTATTATCAACATCAACAGCATCATCTTATGTATGGACATCTTATCTTTCACGTTCACGTTCAGGTTCAGGTTTATATGATCAGAATTCAAATACACGTTATATTTTAGAAAAAGGATGTTTACTTGAAACTTCATATATATCATATTTATATCGATATTCACATAATTTATGTGTAACAGATCCGGTTAACAAATATTCTATAACAAATAATGAAGGTGATAATGGAACTTATATTGCTGCTATAAATCCAGTAGTAAAATATTGTCCAACAAATTGGTTTGATTTAAATGGACGTTGCTATCGTGTTTCAGACGAACGTAAGACAATTGAACAAGCACGAAATAGTTGTATTAGTGTATCAACAACTGGATCAACCACAGTTGGTCAACCTTCCATATGGTTAATCGATAGTACTGATAGTGTAAATGGTGGAAGTGAATTAAATGATTCACCAAAAGGTGACATTGTTGAATATGTATCAGAATGGCAAGCTAGACTTGGATTTTTTCTTCTTGATACTGATCCTGATCATGGTATGAAATTATTTCATTTTCTTAAAATAAAAACAAAAGAGAACCATTTGTTTTTTGTTCTTTTTTTACTTTTATCATAGATGATGGAGCTCTAGATACAACAACATCATTATATAGTAATTATTATGATGATTCATTATCATCAATATCAGATATTGACGAGGTCACTCATACTGAACATGAAACAATAAATGAATTTCAAGTAATTGAGTCAAATGAAAATCAAAATATTTCAAATAATACATGTGTGGTTATAACACGTTCAATAAGTGAAGAAAACGAAAAACCAATTATTAGAAATACTCTTAGGAATGATTGTTCGAAACCAAGACATGCTTTATGTGAAACAAATACATTAATTGTTCAAAAATTTCAATATGGTTGTTTTAATAAACCAAATATACTTGATTTACCAGCATTAATATCAAATCATTTAACACATGAATTATGTTTATCTTTATGTCAAGAATTACAAACAAAATTAGCTATTTTACATATTAATAAATGTTATTGTTTAAATGGTGCTACTTCAAATTCATTTAATATAACAACAGATTTTGAAAAATTTCGACGAAAAAGTTGTGGAAATATTTGTCCAGGTATGTGTTTTCAAGTTATGCAAAACATTGATCAAATGAAATATCATACAAAACGAATTTTTCTCATTAATTTCAAGTAGATGGTTATAAAAAAAAAAACATTTAAATCAATTGCTTATATGACTCACACCATAGAGATTATTGTAAATGTCTATCGAAAAAATCCGTCTAGTAAAATTGTACGAAACTATGTTCCAAACCGAACCAAGTGATCTACTTCAGCAGTATTTTAACAGGATACAATTGAATAAACTTTGTCTCTCACATTTTTATCTCCTAACAATTATGTTGAATAGACATCCATTGATTGTGTTCACAGATTATTTGGTTTAGTGCAAGATAACTGTGAATTGTGTAAAATGGATACTGATAAAAAAAATAGATAGAAACATTAACCTCAAACACATTTTGTATTGTTAATTTTTGTGAACATATTGAGAAATATTCGAATTTTGCCTTCATTTATTATTTATTTCAAAGTCTCAATATGAAACTTCATTGTATTTATGTATACTAATTTTACTCTTCCATATAAAAACTACTAATTCGAATATTCGTTCAATTAAATGTATCTACGAGAAAATATTTCCAGGTTTCGATTGGTAATTCAATTCGGACACTTCGTGCATCTTATTGCTCCTAATGAACTATGTTTATCATGAAAAGAGTTTATGTTTATAGCTTGTTGCTAAAGAAATCGTACGTTTTCAATGAATTTTCGCTGTAGGACTCTTTATTTTTGGTAAAGTTTCAGATCAAAATTCGAAAATATGGTTTTGCTACAAATATGAGATTCCACAGTAAAAACTCACTCAAAAACGTTTGATTTCTCTAAAAACAAGTCACATACACGAAATTTTTTTTCTTTTATAGTGAAAGTAGTTCGCTAAACTCAACAAAATACATAAGATCCCGGTTGCAAAGAGAATTGCCGCACATGGACATATTCACTCATTAATTAATTTCAAAATTTTCAACATTCTTTCTTAAAACAACAAAGATTAATTATACATAATAATTTTTTTGTTTAGGTAATTCTCATGAAATATGTGGTAATGATAATACTATAGTTGTTTTTCAAATTCTCGATTCTCGTCGTACATATTCATTTGTTCGTACACCACCTGAACCATATCCTAATTATTTTTATGATAGTTGTATATATTTAAATTCATTTAACCAATCAATAACATATCAATTTAAAATTTTAAATAAACATGAATTTCATCCACGTCATTGTTTAGCATTTTGTACAAAATATGAACAAAAATATGCGTTAATTAATGATATTGAATGTTTATGTACAAATAAACCAATAAAAGATGAAGATAATGATGCTGATAAATTACCTGGACAACATTGTTCTCAACTATGTGCTGGTAATTATTTTTATTCATGTGGAAATAAAAATAATTTAACTATATATTCAATGTATTTATTACAACCAAAATGTCGACATGGTAAAAAGAAAAAGATTCGAATTTATGTTTTTGTTTTCTTTTTTCAACAACAAAAAAATCTTTTTTTTTTTTTTTTTTTTCTTTTTTTAATTTTCATTTATTAAGGTTTTGAAGCCGCAGAAAATAATCAACAATGCGTTTATAGTCATTTTTCTGCTAAAACAAATTCTCTTGTATCAGCAAAAAATTACTGTCAATCAATTGGAGGTACATTAGCAAAAATTAATGATATTGTTGAAATTCAAGATATTCTACCTGATTCAATATTACATACACGTCTTATGCAACAATTACTTATTTTTTATAGATTTCGATTTGTTAATGATACAAGATATTATTGGATTGATCGTACAAGAGATATAGCTGATCCAGCTACAATATCCGAACGTTTACTTAAACAATGTTCTAAAATACCTGAAAGTGTTGATACAAATTGTATTGCTATACAATATGTACCAAAGTCTGATCAAAGTCTAATAAGTCATGAAAGATGTATTAGTGAATCAAGTGAATGTTCAATAGTATCAGCTATGCCAGTTTGCGTTGATAAACATATCGAGATGAAACCAACATTTGTTTCACCTATTTCAGATGAAAATCCATCACAAGTATCAGTTAATATTACAAGTGAACATATATGTGATGATGAAGAAAATGAATATCATTTTATAGATAATTATTGTTATAAAATATCCTATCATGAAGTAACTTGGAAAGATGCTCAAGCAGAATGTCGACGTGATAAAGCTATGGTATTTGTTCCTGAAAAATCTATTACATTACAATATATAAAATCATTATTTTCACGTCGAAAATCATATACGTCATCAGGTTTAGCACATGTTGGTGTTTATTATGATAATTCAAATCGTACAGTTATACAATATAATATATCAAGTGATAAAGATGTATTAACTGTACCAGATTCTAATGCTATTTATGATTTATGTGAAAAAACATTTCAAGAACGTTATACAGCATTAATGTTATCACCAAGTTTAACAATAAGTGAAAAAACTCGTTTAAAAACACAACAAATTGGTTGTGCATACATTGATTTAATATCAAATGTTGTACCAACAATTCGATGTGATGAGATACCTTGTAATCGAACAGCAACTGTCATATGTCAAAAGTTACCAACTATTAAAACAAGTATTATTCAAGCAAAACGGTAAATTTAAAAAAAAACAAATCCTATTTTGAAAGCATCTTAAAAATAGAGCTCTGAGGAATAAACTTTTTCGTGTCCCAAATCCTGTTTGTCCCGTTGACTGAAGGACGACTTATTGCTTTTTATTTGCTTAAGACCCCACCCCCCCTCAAAAAAGTCAATTTTCGCCAGAAAAATCGAAATTGAGATAAATGCATGGGAAGATAGCCCAAGTTCTGCTCTTTCAGAAACGCTATGATTTTTTTATTGGGCGCCCCTTTTTTGACAAAGTTTTTAATTCTTTTCT